AAATGAAAAAAGTTCAGACTTCTGAATTGCTTGGTTTTCCAAACCACAACCCGTAATTAAAGACATCGACGGGAAAATCAACTATGTAAAGTTTCGGCGGGACAGTATGACAAATTATTTTTTTCTATCATAAAATACGCACACAGGGGATTGTTACTTAGATCCACTTGGGTAAATTAAACCTTTGTCCTGCAGGAATATTTGAATGAATTCTAGTATTTTGCTTTTATCCATTGATTGCACGTTAACCATTAGACAGAAATAACCGTCTGGTATGGGTCATTTCTTTAATAAAACTGACATTTGTTGATATTCCCCATACACAGACGGTATCAAAAACAAATCGCAACGTCTGGATAGATAGAGCCGGAGCGGAACCTCTTTTGGTTCCCGAAATTTTCTCCCCCGATTTTCTTTATTTAGATCTAATTTTCTGATCTATAAAGTAGATAGACAAATACCAATGGCCAATCAGAGCAATCGTTTAATATTGAATTTATGTAAATATTCATTTATCACTGGGTCAAGCCGGGCTGACTCGTGAAAACAAGATGGATGACAACGAATCAATTTGACTACGAGACTTTGTCTGATGAATCATTAATTTAGGATCTAAATGAGCAAGCTACCGTATAAAGTCAAAGTAGATAATTCTGTGTTATTTTCTATTTTTTAATATAATAGTTGTAATATTGCAGCCAAAGTGCATTTATGAGGATGTAAAGAGTGTAAATCTCGTTGCATATCTCATCCATCGCGGTCCGGCCGAACCGAACCATTCCTCCCGTACAATCCCCATAGGACGATCTTCAGTCTATGTATAGAGGCGGTCAGAGGAGCCAGATGCAATCTCAGCGGAACAACAGTCGATATCCGAGACTGAAGCTTTCGGTCTAGTTAACCATATGATTGTACAAGTATATATCATTTCTGTAATGTTCAACAACTATCACCACTTTCTTTCAATTTTTGATTTAGCGTTCAAATTTATTATTAAAAATCAAAGTATAACAAACATTTGGTTTCCTTTGTTATTCACTTTCATCGCAACCCTTTTTCTTGATTTGTTCATTATCTTATTTATTATCACATTATTATTTTACTTGTCTGAAATATAACCTGCCACACTTTTTTTAATATGTTACTGTTTTCCTGCCACAAAAACATGTGTTTTAATCACCTGTTTTGCCTCGAGTATTCAAGAAGTATCATCCACATTTCGAGGAAACACTGCTTAAAGTGACATCTTGAATTGTTTGTATCTCTCAACATATTCAATCATAAGTATTTGTAAGAGCTACGGAACTATGATATCAATGTGAAAAGAATGTTTGCGTGGGTTTACTGATGCCGACCAGGACGATGCCGACGACGACGATGATGTTGATGATGATAACAATGATACAGTAAAAATCTGTCTTTAAAGGCCACACAGAGAAAACAGGAAAGCAAGTCACTGTAGACATGTTGCCTTTATTGAGACGGTAATAATATTAATAATGATAATTACCACAACAACAGCAATGATTGCAATAATGTTGATAATAATTATAACTATGATATGTATAATAATTATAAAAATATTTAAAATAATGATATAATGATTTAAATCATTCCCAATAAACAGAACACCAAAAAGTAACCTCTTTTGGGAGTGTATTTTAAGTGATTTTAAAGTATAGTGCCTTTTGAACTAGATTTAAACGTTATCGACACGTGCCTTCATTTAAACAAAAAAGGTACTCCTGTTCACGTTTTCATCTAACCTAAAAACCACCAGTTTATCACGCGACTGGAGTAACGTGATTCCACATACCTCTGTAAATCAAGTGTTTATGACCAAATAACCACTTGACCAAGCAACGAGTTTTTTGTCAGTTAACCGATGGTGGCGATAAATACGTAATTATTTGGTCTTGTAAGCACCTTTATTGATTGGTTTCACAGGTTATCCAAGGTTGATGGTAATAATCACGTTACTTACACCGGCTAATCGTCTTATTGTTCTGTCCGTGAATCTCTGGTTATATTCAACTAGTAATTCTGAGGTGTCTTACGCACCTCTTCAAAAGGTTTCAAAGTTACCATAAATTTCTTGGTTATGATCACGTGGCTCAAGCTGATTACTAATCTAAGCTGTGAAAACGTGATATGTAGGTGTGAAAATTAGTAATTATTCAGTGTTTTAAAACACCTTTTTAAATGGTAGTCAAAGTTGCCACAAGTTCCGCGGTGATGATCTCGTGACTCAAACGGATTATTGATCTAAGCTTGTCATACGTGACTTTTAGGTGTGAAAAATTAGTCATTATTAGGTGTCTTAAAACACCTATTTAAATGGTTTCAAAGTTACCATAACTTTCTTGGTGATGATCACGTAGTTAAAACTGATTACTAATCTAAGCTGTGAATCCGTGATATTTAGGTGTGAAAAATTAGTCATTATTAGGTGTATTAAAACACCTATTTAAATGGAAGTCAAAGTTGCCATAAGTTCCGCGGTGATGATCTCGTGACTCAAACGGATTATTAATCTAAACTGGGCATATGTGACTTTTAGGTGTGAAAAATTAGTCATTATTAGGTGTCTTAAAACACCTATTTAAATGGTTTCAAAGTTACCATAACTTTCTTGGTGATGATCACGTAGTTAAAACTGATTACTAATCTAAGCTGTGAATCCGTGATATTTAGGTGTGAAAAATTAGTCATTATTAGGTGTCTTAAAACACCTATTTAAATCGTAGCCAAAGTTGCCAGCAGTTCCGCGGTGATGATCGTGTGACTCAAACGGATTATTAATATAAGCTGGGTATTCCGTGTTTTCCATGTGTGAAAATGAGTTATTCTTGGGTGTCTTGATGGTTTCACAGTTACTATTTAAGTTCCGTGGTGATAATCCCGTGACTGTTGGCATATTTCTATGTTCACCAGTTGATAACTGACTGTTGGCATATTTTCATTGCACCAGTTGATAACTGGAGTGTGCACATTTCCAGTTGCACCAGTTGATGACTGAGCGTTGGCATATTTCGAGTTGACCCAGCTGACACCAATTCATTTGCATATTGAATATGGGGTGCGTGCAGATGTGTTTATGTTTTTTAAACAATTTATCTGAATTTACAGCATATTTCTTAATTACTGATGATTTAGTTATATGCAATTCATTTCGAAAATACTACAAATATAAATTACCAGTTATTAGGACATTTCGCTACTTCGTATAAATAGTTAAACATGAATAAGGGAAACATTAACTGTGAACTAAAATAATTTCAATAAAGTACAAGTATACGAATTTTTTTCGATTAATTCAATTATGTAAGTCTACTTATTACCAATGCCCTTACATTGGAAATACAGACGTACCAGTATTGAAGTATTGTTGCTGTTCAACTGGTTGGAAGTTTTACCAAATGGTTCTAATGGCTCAGCTAGACCAGTTGAATTATAACTGGCCTGGATCAACTGGATCATTTAGCCCATTTCAATTTCCAGGGTTACCAGTTGGCATTAAAAATGGTTCATCAACTGGACCATTTGCAACTAGCTTTCTCTTCTGGGTTGTTTGCACCCCCCCCCCCCCCCCACCCAACCCCCTCTAATTCCAAACTGCTTCCGGCGCGCCTGGACGTAATTATGGAAGATCCAAGACACGATGTTCAGAAACGGGATGAGAACGTCATTATTTTGGTTCATTTATTGTGTAACATTTGCGTAATTATTGGGTTGAACGCGGGTTACAGTAACATACTTCCTCTTCGACGTAAATTTCACGTGAATGAAGAACATGATTCATCTCAAGTCAGCCTCGTAATATTCACGTGAATTTCACGCAGATATTTTGACTAAAACTATCATTAACGCTTCACGTATTTCTGTGACGCGATAATTTCGTGTATGAAGATGTAATTTCATAACCAAACAAACACGGGAGTATTAGGTTTACAAACCATGGTCTCCAAGGTAGGGATAATCACGTTATTATAATGGTGATATTGCAGTGACAATTGCGTGATATAGTGTACGTGTGTTTTAAGTTACCTAATGCAATACACGTATTAACACATTTACGTAAATGTACGGTGTTTGAAGAACGTAACTCTCCTCAAGTCGATACCTTGATATTGACGTGATTTTCACGTGATTTTGTTTATTGGGTTGTTATGACTCTACAGTATTAATGATGGTGATGATAATGATGATAATAATCATGATGACGTTATTGGTAACCTACATGTACTATTCCTAAATGAACAAGAACTGTTTTCAAAAGCTACTCATGTACATGTACGAGAGTGTGTATGTGTGTGTATGTATGCATGTGCGTAGGAAAACGCCAGCAACCGCGGACCACTCCATAGAAAACTACCTCAAACCGTGGACGTACCTGCAATGGGGGACCGTCCACGGTTGCGATACCGGTTCCGCCGTATCAAATTTACGACGTAGGGGGCGTTTGAATATTAGATGTCACAGCGTGTAGGCAACATCGACTGGATCAGTCCGATGTGTATCGCGAAATGTCACAGCGCCCCCTTTTGACTGCGCGGGAGAGGCGCTCGCTACCTGGATCATCCCATAGGAGGTACGTCCGCGGTTTGATGTAGTTTTCTATGGAGTGGTCCGCGGTTGCTGGTGATTACCTACGCACACACACACAAGTACTAAACTTGGTCAATGGTTGACGCCATTTCCCTGTGGTGTGTGCGTGTGTGTGAGAGAGAGAGAGAACGAGGGAGAGAGAGAGAGAGAATGGTGAGATAGAGTGAGAGATACGTTATTGTGAAATACAGAAGAGAGAGAGGGCGTGTTCGTGTGTGCGTGTATTTGTGTGCGTTTGTGCGTGCGTTTATGTGTGCGTGCATGTGAGTCTGAGTGTATGTGAGATAAAGCGAGAGAGAGTATGATAGTGAGGGAGACATGACATATTGACTTAGACATTACGTCGCAATGGTGCAAGGTCATAAATAAATAAACACAAAAACATCACAGGATTGTTTTTAAGTTGGTTTATTAGCGTTAGTTAGTTCATATCAACAGTCAAACCGAACGGAAGAAAAAAGGAAAATCACAGCATTCTCTGTTTAACCACTGTTGCACGACAAATGTGCTCCGGTGAAATTTCCCTGCAATCAATTTCCTACTCAAATTGAATTCATAACACAAATTATGGAAGACTGTACCCCAACTGTATCTTTATTGTTAACTCATTTAAGACAATGATGTCGGATCACCAATGCAATTTGACAATAAAGGCTGTTCTTGTTTGTTTGTTATACCTGACTACTAAGAGAGCATATGTATGCTTGTAATTAAGCACACAGGGGACCGATAGCTTTAAGTCATCTCCGAAAGCCCTGGTAATGGGGATTAGTGCCTATACCAAAGAGCACTAGCGCATCGACTTGGTTTCGAAACCGGGACTTCAGGTTACGAGACCGATGCTCACCGATACCACGGAGCCATTGCGCCTCTGTATTCTCATTGGCATAAGAAAATAATAATTCGATAAATAATGGAAGGGGAAAGGTATTTCCTTATCTAAAAATATGGAGCACATTGGCAGCAGCATCATGCAATAGATATAAATATGGTTTTCTAATATTCATAACGTTTCGTTCATAATATGTGTTGAATTAATTGGTGAAAGTTTCATTTGAGTTCTTCAATCTATATATATATATATATATATATATATATAATATCATTTATTATGCTTTCGTCTTGTACACGAGACACAGAACTATCTGTTTGAGCTTGATGGTTTTGCACAAGTTCACTTGACTCCATTAAGATGTGCTCGAGCATCATATGTTAATGTCAAAAGCTGCAGGCGTACGTGTAGGTCACTTCATTTCAATTATAACATATGAATAATCACAATGTAATATATCATAAAAAAGGGAAACAATCCTATTACATAAAACTCTCAAGTAATATTTCCACCGTCTATAGTTGGAATAATAATAACCAACGGAAATTCAATCTTCTACATGTAGATCTGTAACAATAGAAAGACGCGATGAAGTCATAGAGCGGTCCGAATAAACTGCTATAAATGCATCAAAAACACATTTGTGTGTATTTCGACAACCCTATCGTTTAATTTTGTTTACTACTTCTAAGGCTTATTATTCTTATATGTTAGTTTTATACTGTTTTTACATTTGCTAGTGAGCTTTGGTGATATTCCTTATTTTTATTTCCGTGTATTACATTTTCATTCTGTTCAGGACCAGGACGTTAAACAGATTTTGTATATACAATATATATCTGATTCTTGTAATCCTGATTAAATATATTTCAATTAAATTAATAAATAAACAAAAAATTCAAAATCTATTAGTTCTACATGGTATCTTCACCAATCTGCACCAGCATTATCATACGAAGCTCTAGGAAGTCTCTCCGGCGGAGCTAGGCGGAAGTCTCTGGGCGGAATCCGCTGGAGTCCGAGTTGGACAAGGGTCGTATTGCTGAGCTGAGCTTGAACGTGGAGCTGGGTTGTCCAGAACCGGAACTGCCCGCAGAGGGCGTCGTGAAAGATTTAGGTAAGCAGCATTTGAACTGGGAACGCCATATTCTGCGCACCTGAGGCTGTCTGATGCAATAGAGCATGAAGATGAAATACCCCTGCAGAGAGTTCAGTACGGTGAAGAGTCCTTGCACAACCGCACTGGCCGATTGTATGATGCTGAGATAACCAAGAGACCACGTGAGACCCATTAGAATCATGATGCAAACTGCGTTCTGGAAACGTCGAATCCGCTGGCGCTTATCTGCCGAGTCAAGGTGTCTTCCTTTCATAGTTTTGTTCAGTCGCATGATGACCCGAACAAAGATGACAAAGTTGAAGATCATGACGACACCAATAGGTATCAGGAGACCACCAACCAGAGGCCAGAAGGCAGGGAAGCAACTGTAACACAATATATAAATCAAATAAAACATCATCTTACTCGGGTTTCTGTTTTTGAATTTAGTTTATAACACGATCACCAAGACTTGAGATAAATGTGCATCTCCTTCTGGAATGTGTGAACATTACAATGATTAAATGATAATAATAATAACAATATTAACAACAATTTCAAGGATGATAATGTTACATTTAGTATAAAGCGTCTTTTTATTAGCCCATAAACGAGAAATGCTATTAATCAAAAAAAGAGAAAGAACATTATCATAGGAAGCTTATATTTAGGTTTTTAATTAGAAAGTGTTCCTTTCACCATTGAGTCCATTGCGCATGTCCATAATCAACATTAACATACATGAATATGTATAAGGTTCGTAAACAATCGCATATGAGATATATAGCATAATGCAGAAGTGATGTCAATTGCACTACCTTCGACGGCGGAGGAATAAAAAAAAAAACCTGATGTGTAAACAAATATATTCTGCATGATAAAACTTACAAATCCGTCTGTGCGTAATACTGTCTCGAAGCACCTGCAGTAATCCCGACTATTAACAAAGGGCAACCTACAAAAAGAACAAACAATTTGAATGTGTGAAAGTTCCTAATAGTCCTTTTCTTCCTCTCCCCATCTATTCCCTCTTCTTTCTTCTTTTCTATTTCTGTTTTTCGTTCTTTCTTTCTTTATTCTTTCCTTTCGTTCTCTTAGTCTTAGCAAGTGGCATACATATATTTATCATTTGCTCATCCATTCCGACTTTGCTATTGATATTTATTATATCTTATGTTTTTATTCTTGTAAATTTCATTGAATTAGCTTATAATGTGTAATAATAATTTGTTGCGATTATGCTACTTGATTGTATTTTATCTTCCTTAAGTGCATTGAGTTGAAATGAAATAAAATGGAACGAAATGAAATTAAATAAAATGAAATAAAATGAAATAAAATGAAATGAAATGAAATGAAAAGAAATGAAATGAAATGAAAAGAAATGAAATGAAATGAACTAAAATAAATTTTAAAAAATAAATTTAAAAAACGGGTTCAGGAATGTCTCTAGAACAGTTCTACTACATAAGTAAAAGGACTTCTTTGGAACTAAATCCCTTGGCAACAATCATGAAAGGTGTGAAATATAGTTTCCCCACATTAAGATTTAGAGGCTAGAAGTGGTGGTGGGTGGAAGTAATAGTACACTAACTCGCTTTATCGGCGCCCCAACGATCAGATACATCTTCGGAAAACCGAGTAAAGCCAAATACAGCGAATAACGCACGATGAATATTGTTATCTCTTTTTGTATTGCGTCGCAACTGCTGTTGATATATCCATTTAAGAAATATTGCTGTGGATACAATTATCCACGGAATGAGGGAATGAGGGAGGGAGAGGGGTAACCCATGCACCACCCCCTTCTAGTGACGCCCTTGTATTAATGCATGGAGCAGATGAAAGCTTACCCCAAGCGATCAACGAAGCTTTCTTCATAAACTGTGGCAAATAGGAATTGAGGACCAGTACGAAGAGACTATGCATGTTGAAGCCCTCTACGGCCATCCAGAAAATGGATGCCAGGGTGAAATAATGGAGGAATGCAGCCAGGATCGAGCAAGGGAGAGGGGTGAGCTCAGTCACATCTCGCTTAGTGTCCACTGATATCATCACTAAAAACACCACATAGAGTCCTAGTAAAGCACAGCAGAGGGATAGGAGGATCTGGTTGGGTTTCCGGTCTCGAAGCTTCCTGGGAGAGGAGAAAATGAGACCAGAAGAATGGTGTATATACTCTGCGAATACTGCATTATCATAATAAAATAACTAAACTCATGAACAAATTTACGATTTCCTTAAATCCTCTAAAATTACCTTTAATCGAACATGTGGAAGTCTCAAGCTAACTTGGGACTTATAGAATAACTATTTTTGTAGAAGAGAAGTTTTTAATTTCTCTCAGTTTAGATTTGGGGTGGGGTTCGGGCTTAGGTTAGGGGAATGACATTCTTTCTCATTACCTAACCGTTGACAGCCTTATTCCGAAACGGTTGGTGGTGATCAATAAGATCGTCTTCGTAATAACATTCAATTCAGTTATTATACGTAAATGTCTATAAATGCAACAAAGAAGAATGCTAATTTAAGCGGGTTCAAATTCTTCTCCATGTGTTGAACCAGAATGGTTTCTAATTATTTGTAATGACAATGTAACATAATAATGTGGCACTTGATAATGGTACTCACTTGTTTGTGCCATATGTCAAGATTGTCAGGACAAGACCCCATATTGATATCAGGCAACCAACATAGCTAATGATTTCAAGGATGAAATCTGCTTCAACTGATAATTTTTCTCCTCCATAGAAATCCTGTAACGGAAAGAAAAATGAAGGTTTGAAATGTTATCTATTCTAAAATCGTCCACTTTAATAAACAAAGGTTAGCCCTTATTTTTGTTATTTGAATGTCAAATCTCGCGTGTACCTTATAGGATTAATAACTATAATGATAATAAAATGATTGGGTCTCATTTACCCAAAATAGCCACAAAGAAACAATATTGCACGCTGATTCTCCATCGGTGAAGTTTCAGTTTAAGTTTTATTTTTCATTTCCAACAGAAAAGTAATTTTGACAAGAAATCAGATATACAATTCAACATTCAATAATATAAATTTTATATGGTTTACAGTTGTGAAATAGAAAGTATACATAAATATCTAGTATAATGTTTTTTTAAAGTTTTGTTTCAGATAAACCTGTGGAAGTGACGAAATATACAGAGGAAAAGCAATATGCTACCGCTATTAAACTAGATTAAAGAAAGAGAATCAAATACATGATTTTATTCCCTGGGAAAAGAAGCTCGTGTGTTTGATAATTATTATTATTGCCCCTGTGTTTCCAGCTATCCATTTAAAAATCCCTGGGTTGAGAAGGACAAATGTGAACATAACACTTTGCACAAAGATGGAGGCACATAAAAGGATCGAATCGTGACTATGACCTCTCGTATGTGAGTTAATAGTACAGAATCTGGCCATTTAATAGCTAATAATCTCAACCACCGTGATCTCCACCTACTTCCTGCAAGCCGAGGATGACGTGATCTCCGAACGTCAAAGCCCTTAGGCTGGGCGTCCCAGTTCATTGATAACGCCATATTCATTTTTTTTATTCGGAAAATAAAACCAAACAAAACCAAACAAAACCAAACCAAAAGAGATATTGAAGAAATAAACCCACTTTGTACACCTTTGATAAAGACACGAAACTTTGGGTCTAGACATTTTCATTTTCAAATGTAGTTGATAAACCGTTAGATACTAACAACTTAAAACCGTTCGTGCCCATTAAATCAAATGAGTTATACGATGGCCTTTTTAAAATCTTGGTTTTCATTATCCGTAAACACCCAACCTGTCTTTTTTGTTTCAGTTATTTTTTCCCATTCCAGTTTTTAAAAGTATGCAAATACAAATAATACATACCTTTTTAAGGTAAGCAAGTGACAAAGGGGGAAATAAGATAATAAACAAGAAGAATGAACAGGAAAAACAAAAGCAAACTTAAGTTGCTTTTCAGGGTTAATCCCCAAAATAATTATATCACATTGTAAACATAGTAAACCAAAATGGGGGGGGGGGCGGTCATTTTAACGACCATTGCTGAGCTACGATGAGAATTGCATATTTAACAATGAGTGTTTTTTTCAAACAAATTCGTTTGAAAGCTTTGGGGTGATACAAAGTCTTTAAAGTCATCTGTTAATCCATTACAGAGGATTTGGCCTATGTACCTCACACTTTGTTGGTCGTTGGGAAGTTTTAACGAATATAGAATATAGTTTATGAAAGCTTTTGGGGTTGTTTTATGGATGCAATCTTTTGATATACAGTCAAACTTGTCTATACCGACCACCCAATGGAAACACAAAAAGGAGCCTTTGTAGACAGGTGGTCTTTGTAGACAGGTTCCTTTAGTACATGATTCAATGATAAACCATTTTCAAGGGAAACAACAAATGTGGCCTCTGTAGACAGGTGGTCTTTGTAGACAAGTTGTCACTAAAGCAGGTTTGACTGTATATCAGTCACTATACTTTTTAGGCAAAGACACGTCAACATATTTTAACATAAAATCTCGACCGGCAGATTTAGCCTGCTCAATTCAGTAACAAGGTTGAGAATGAATCAGTGTACGTGAAGATATTTCAGACGAAGAGTTTAACACGTACCATGAGAATTCCGAAGTTAGTCAGATGATTACACTCGCATTCAATCATGTCACTACTCTCATTACTCGTCTTGACACATCCACGTTGAGACCAGGCATTTTCGTCAAAGTCCCAGGATACACACGAAGCATTGGTCCCATTCTGAAAAAAAAAGATAAAGTAGAAATTCTCGACAATGAAATACGATATAATTCATTGTTAGTGTAAATTGGTCTTGTTTTGTTGATGAATCTATGAAGTTCTCTGCTGCATTTACACCAACAAAAATATTCATCAGAGTCAAAAGTTTACATCATATTTAATAGATTTGTCTTACGTTTCCTCGCACCGCCACCCTCAATTCATTTCTGTCCATTTTTAGCATTTTCTTCATATCAATTCGTCTCATTTTACAAATACGCGAAGCGATTCTGTATTTCCTATAAGATCAATACATTAATTGTCCAATCTACTCACTGGATTCACAGGAGTAAACGATATCCTGACTGGTTCGCTCAAATCCTCCACCTTCTCGTTATTGATAGACGCAGATATGATCCTCGAATTCAAGGTTCGGTTGAATTCTTCCTCATCTTTGTTCAACTGTGCAATCCCCGTGTCCTGGAACAGAGATGGCACGCGATACGTCGTGATGACGAGACGCCCTCTGCGTCCAGAGAACTTGTCCGCTAAACCAGATGGGAGAAAGAGTGTAGCCTGTGCTTGGGTGGCTTCTGGCTCTTCCGTTCGGTCACCTCTTTCAACGTTGAAGCCTTGGTCAGAGATGCTCTCATCGTCATCAGTGACAGCCATGAAGACAGTATAACCCTGGCTTATATCATCCGGGCTCACATCAAGTACCTGAAACGGATAGACCAAATGAGGGAGTGTTTTTTTTAAAGATATTGTGCAATTGCGAACAATCCTCATTTTAGGTATGAATAGAAAATTATTGATAGCTGGTCACATAAAAATTCCCTGCAAGGAGAGCCCCAAATAGGCAAATAAAATTGGTTCGCTACTGCTCAGATGAAGTTATTTATCTCTAATCTATAGAAAATAAAAGAAATTATACGTTTTTAACATGTATAACATTCCAAATATGGAAGTATGAAAGTGAGTACTTATATTGGAGAAAAGTGATATTGCATAACAGAACAGCAACTAGATCTAGAAGCTAGCCTGACTCTACAAGAATCATTTCAAAATCAAAGAAGTTGTGTCGGCGAAATACTTCCAAGAACATCGTATATGGGAGCTAGGTGTATTCTTCAAATCGTGTAATTGGTAGTGAAAAGAATTAACGACATAATGACAAGCGAACATATTACGTATTCCTCCATGATCGTGCTCAATATGACACTTTACTACAGTTGCCATTGGTACTTCGGTCAAGGGGCAATTCCCATGTATGGTTTTCTGTGTGATGTTTAGTTTTGTTTATCAGGTACTGACAGCGATTTTAATCGAGGTTGATAATTTGATGAATTCGTTGAACATTGACAAAACTCCTATCAGACATGGCGTACAAGAAGGTTCGTTGAGTTGTTAACCCTTTTGTACTCGACCCAGGTGAAGAAAATGGATACCAGGTAAGAATTAATGCATTGAAATGCTAGAGCGCCATAACGACCGCCATGATAAAACCGGAGGAATAACTGTTGAACGCCAGGAGTGTAAAGTTTGACAGACATAAGCGCTATACAAGAACCCACTATTATTGTTATTATTACAAATACCTCATCGTTCAATCGCTAATATGAAATCCAACGTAGAATGTAAAATCTGATATGGAACGTTTTTCTGAACTTATATTGCATGTCTCTTCCTCTAAAATCAATTGAAAATACACAAACTGTCTTCCCTACCTCAGCGGCAACGTTGGCTTCTACGAACCGGCTACTGCCATTTGTGCCAACTTCTACGACAGCTAGCTGTGCTTCGAGAGCCAATAGAACACGGCTGGGCGAGCTATTCTCTTCCTCGGCCATACCAAGCTGTTCGTCAGGTAAGGCTGCGATGTTATCTACAATTTCTACAATAGATTCAGTCACCTATGGTTCCAGAAAATGAAATATCAGTTCATTAACACGCAACATTTGCAATAGTATCGTGACAGAAAAATGCTGAAGACCGTTCCCCATTCCCTAAGTGCTTGTAAATGACTTATGCAAGTTTAACCTTAACAACTCAAGATATTACTATAAATCTCGTGAACCGAGACTAACATTGTGGAAGGAAAATTTTAAAAATTTATAATAAATAGAAAAGGGTCCCATAAACTTATTTTTTTCTAGGCACTTTTAGATATGAAATACCGACTAGAGCAGTATAACCGTACTATAGTTCAAGAAAAGTTTATTCACTATTCAGTTAAGGGGCTCCTCACAGCATCCAGCTGTAGCAGCAGTTAAAAAATAAAATGATTATATAAATAAACCCAAACTACTAAAAAACGATACCCACCTGTGTTTCTGTAGAATTTATTCCAGTAATATCCTCTAGAAGTTTTGCAACTACATTGATACCCTCTAGGGTGATGTTCTGGCCCCTGCTTGTGACGTCTTCCAACTCTTCAGCGACTTGTGCTGCGTTATCTGAAGTGATTACTACCTGCGAAACCAAATGTAGGATTATATAAAACAGGATAAAATGTAAGCGAATGGCGAGTAAAGAAACGTTTACCCTAAGATGGTTGTACACTTGTACTTTATAGATATGAATGGAACTGCTTATTATACTCCCCTAAACAAAGGAAAAGGAAAAAAGAAAAAGATGAGAAAGGTGACATTGTCCATGTCATCGCCGCTGCACTGAGAGGTAACTTTAACATGTTCAAAGTGCTATTACATAGAGAGAGGGAGAGAGAGAGAGAGAGAAGGATAAAGCGACAGAGAAACAGAGTAAAATATAGAGAGTCATATAGAGAGATATACAGAGAGAGAAAAAGAACGAAAGACAGAGAGAGACAGACAATGAGAGAGAGAGAGAGACAGCGAGATACGGACACAGAAAGAGAGAGAGGGATGAAAAGATAGAGAGACAGAGAGACAGAGAGAGAGAGAGAGAGAGAGTGGGAGGGGAGAGAAAGCTAGCCAAATATGACTACTTTGAGAATAAAATGGGAATGATTTTTTAAACCATAGACCATGGGTTTTCCTCAAGAACTAAATTAAAAATTTTACACTCCAATTTCATTTCAAAATCATTTCTATTCCAATTCCTTTTCATTCCAATTCCATAACTATTTCAATTTCAGTTCAGACTGAATTGTAGAATTATTTAAGACGATTGACAACAAATATAGAATAGGTCTCAATGGCTTCGCCATGATATTGATTCCCCTCCAGATAATTTAGTTTGAATGCCAAAAACGTTGTTTCAAAATTATGATCCTTGAATTTAAGAATATACTGACGTTTTTCAGGATCACAAGAATCTCTTCAGCAGTCAAGTTCCTTCCGCAGTTCATCTCTGGTATTACCCAGTTACATGCACGGGTATAATCCCCTTCACATACACCTTCTACAGCCTGATTTCCTGTAAAACAAAAGTTTAATATTGATAAAGAAACGTTCCAGTAGTTCATAGAGGTGTCGTAGTCGTCGAGTGGTTTAAGCCCTTGACTGTAAATGCAAAGGTCGTGAGGTTCGACCCCCTACACTGTACTTATGTAATTTGGCAAGGCATTCATCTATATTTGCTACCCCATACCCAAGTGGAGAGAGAAACGGGGACTTGGTAGGATGAAGAAAGCCTTAGTGATAGAAATTGCTTATCCCCTCAAGGTGACCATTCCCACTCCCCAGGGAGTGGAAATGGTGCCATTCTTATGTGTGAATTAACTTAGTGACTGAGGTTATTACATTATTGAATAATTAAGTAAGCAATTAATTATATCATAGGAAGCTTCTAGGCCACTGATTGGTCAAAACTGCAGGCATGATATTCACTACTGACTACTCGGCAGTATAGCGCAAAATATTGACCGGTCATAGTTATTCTACTTGGGCATACTATGCCAGGTCAAAGGCTGCCGACCGATTTTGGACTCGCCGCCCAGTGACCGACTGATCTCCCAGCGGCCACCGGGCGGCCACCGGGCGGCGACTGCTCGACAGCCTTTGACCTAGCGGCTTCGATTTTTGGCCTAAATCGCTCGACGGTGAACACTCGATTAGGTCGGCGCCCGGGCGGCGATCGCCCGGTAACCGAGCGTAGTTTGGGGGCGAGTGAAAGTGAGCAGGCGCCGCCCGAAATTTAACTCCGCGCTAAAATTTCAGCAGCGACCGAGCGATGCCTTAAAAACAAGCGGTGCTTGGGCGACCGCCGCTCGGTGGCCGGGCGAAATTGGCTAAAAACTCGCCGCTCGGCCGCCGAGCAGGCAACTTTGGGGTAATGTGACCATAGCATTAGTCTTTAATTCCCCCAAAACAAGCATCCAGATCCAGATAAAGCTTTGGATTTGACTAACCTCTCTTTGTATAGTATGGACAGGTGGCGTTGGTTGAGTTAGCTCTACCGTTGATGTAGCCGCTCTCAAACATTGCTATCGATCCGTACGCTGTCACGACGGTTGCCGATGGACAGGTCACTGTCAAATAAAACATATGGACAAGGGTGAGTAATTCAAGAGGAGATTTTTAATTCAAATGTTTCATTTCCCCCTTTGAAGTATCGTACTCTGCTCATACTTTTGATTTGAATATTTTTGTTATCGTAATACAATAGTGGCACAATGTGCTGATCAAATGATAATGAATGACCACACTTCGGAAAACGTGGGTGTAATCTATGATGGATGGATGAAACCATCGCATACTTTGAACTTCTTTATTTCAGTAGGGATTTATGAATATTTTGAATGGTGCAAATTCCTGATAGTTCATTAGAGTCTTTCGTTGCTTTATTCAGGAAATACCATGTATATAAACACGATCGATCGCAAAACAAAATCAAGAAGTCAAACTGAGGCATTTAAAATTGTCCATCTTCCTATTTAAATATGTGAACATCAAAATAACGTATTACGTCTTCTGAATATGATTTTGATTGGATATACAACTGGGTATTGGAATCGGCAAAGGGTTGATTTCCTTGAAGTCTGTGCAATCGTATCAATACAAAAATTTAAAATAATCACTATTTCGCATATCTCTCTTTCTCTCTCTAAGTGCCATATCGTTTGACTTTGGCGATCATACTGTTCCACAACCCTCGGCTCCTAGCCTTCTGTATTAGTACCACTCCCAGTTCTTTCACTCCTCTCTCTTCCAACAATTTCTGCAGACTGTCCTTCCAAAGTATCCTGCTTCTTCCCCTACTCCTTCTTCCCATAATTTTCCCTGTCAAAGCAAGATTCTCTAGGCCTTCTTTACGTGTAATGTGACCCATGAACTTCAACTGCCTAATCAACATCTCACGTATCATTTTCCTTTGCACTCCAGCTCGTGTCAGAACTTCCTCATTACTAACTTTGGCAGTCCAGGGGATTTTCATCATTCTTCTTAAAAACCAAATTTCGCAACTTTCCAAAGCCTTTTAGTATCAGATGCTAAAGTCCATGTTTCACTACCATACATACGTTACATACAGTTCGTATTTACCTGTACTAAATGTTCGAATTGAGTCTGGGTCCATATATGTCGGGTCCGCCTCAGCAATATCTACCAAAGTAGCATGGATTATGGATAAGCGTTCCATATCTTGAAGGGTACTTCTGTTGACTACATCTATGACTACAGAGAACTCAGCAATGATGCTACCTGCAAAGAGGCGGTTGACTGTCACCGATACTGTCTCTGTAAAGCGATTCATCAGAGGCACTTGTATCTGAAAGCAACACAAAAAAGAACTCATAGGCTTTTTAACAAGAAGCGCCCCTCAGCAAATAGTACTATTGGAGTCAACGAGGCCCATAGTTTAACCGTACATCGAATAGAAGGCATGGTATATTTGTTTTATATCCTGCATCAAAAAATTATTTTTAAAAAAACAAAAAAACAAAAAAACATTTTTGGGAAAAAAAAATTCAGAACAAAAAAAATGTCAAATTTTATCTTAAAAGATTTAAAATATTTTGTTTTCATTAAATTAAAATTTGAAAAAAAAAATTGATTCAATTCCAAAAAAACTCCCAAATAGTAAACCAAAATAGTACTCTCATATAGTACTTTCTAAAAATAGGTCAAATATTTCTGGTCATGTGACGAGCCCTCAACCAATCAAAAGCCAACAAATTTTTGATGCAGGATATAATAAAAAATAATAATAATAGTAATTATGATGATGATGATGATGATAATAGTAACAATAATAAAAAAAATAACAACAATGATGATCTTTTTTTTTCTTCAGGGTAGCGCCGTCAGTTTCAATACTGTTCTCCCTAAGGGCCCTGCAATCATTTACATTTACCCCGGCTTTAGCCAATCTACCGTGATAAGGCACACGAGCATTCAAGAAATGTCTTTCTACCGGGTATCCAGTTACTACACCTGGGTGGAGAGTGACAAAGGTAGATATGTGTTGCCTATGGACATGAACCATGTGATTCACAGTCCAGCGACGTATCCACTAGAGCATGGCATTTAAAATGGAAAAATGTAGAAAGAGAGAGCAAGATAGAGATGGAAGGCAACACGAAAAGATGATACGGACCTCTTCGACATCTACCCTCTACTCGATGGTTCTTTTCTCTAGAATGTCAATAACTGTTCCATTGCCCCTGTCACTTTTGTTTGACCCCTCCCCCAAACCTCCCCAACCACCCTACACCCTCCTCCAGTGAAACTTATGTACCCACGATGATTGGACCTTACTACACTACCCATACAAATATCATACAGATATCAAAACACTGACAGCAACAATTAGACACTGTGCTGTGGAAAATGTATAGTTTAGATGAAGATGGTAAATATGATATATATATTTACCATCTTGGTAATGAGTATAAATGCATTGCCAAAGGACACGAGTGCATTGGCGAGACCACTGCTCTGCCACTGAGCCGTCGCACCTCCTCAAAATACTTATATGAACTATATATAACTATATATATATATATATATATATATATCGGAATAGTTTTAGAAAGAAATCTTTGACATGGGCATATTCCAAACGAAGAAATAAATGTGACTGTAATTGTGCTTGACAGAACGGTTTATTCTGAAGAGCAAGATATGAAGTAGATGAAATGGATTCAATCATGAACAAGAAAACATACTTACATAATTCACCAATTCTGCTACGATTTGAGTGAAATAGGGAGATGTTCTATCTGTCAGGCTACTGACGAAAGTCTTATTAAGAAATGTTGCGACTACAATGTACGTATCAACAGCTGAAAACAAAATAAGGAGAGAATGAGTTAATTAGTAACTAAATCTAGGCATACACCGTATTAACGTATAAGGTTGCCTTGGCAGGGGCGGCTCAAGGGTTTCGTAAAATGGGGGATTTAGTCCCTCTAAAAGTAATCTGACAAGAAAAAGAAAAAGGATTAAGATGAAAAAGCAACAACAAGTGTGTGTGTGTGTGTGTTTGGGTGGTAGATACACAGAATTTTCGACATGGAAAACAGAACGATTGGGGGTCCGGACTCCCCTGACTTCCCCTCCCCATGCTTTTTCAACCTTCTACTTTTTAAAATGTCAAGTTTTATTTTGAGACACGTAGTGTGCTTGGTCGTACCAATTTATTTTAGAAATTGACATTAAAATTTGACATTGAAATAAAATTCACATCATTTCCTTCTCATTGACGATTTGTGGGAAGCAGTTGTAGTTAGTTAATATAAGTAGAAGTGGGGAGGGGGAGTCCGCACACCCACCCCCCCCCCCCACTCCTCTTTTTTCTGGATGAAATGCATGCTGTTTTTAATAATACGGATCTATGCTCTGCACAATTATTTATCAAGATTGCCATATATTATATTTCCAGAACCCCGAGCTCCCATTACCTACGTTTTGTATATATTTCGATATCCAGATAGATCACTCGCGCCCTCTCAAAACAAAATCAAAACAAAGGCAAAGCTCAACAAATAACGTGAAACAAAAAGAAGAAAACGAAAGTCCTAACAAACACACAAGCAAATAAACAAAAAAAAACAAAGCTGTTTAATGATAGAAGGTACCCTTACCATCGCAATAAGGCAGAGGGTGTGATAGAGCTCCATTACTCTGGCACGTTATAGTCTGATTGCCAATCAACATATACCCCATCGAACATTCTAAGTTACAGGTGGTAGCATAGTCGATGGAACTCCCAGCAATACAGTCTGCGGACGAAGACGATAATAATGACGGGAAAGTCTCCGGGAGTGTGCACACGACATCTGAAGGAAAAGGTTTGAAATATACACATTAAAGGTTGGGTGAAATCCCAATATAAGTTGCTTCTTATTAATTTGCATGGCTGCATACAACTCATATTTTGTTATTCAAACATCTAAATATATTCATAGATTTTTATATATTTAAAAAAAAAAGTTTCTCAGACCTGCTAAGCTCCATCGTAACAAATGCTCCAGATATCATTCATCCTGTGACATCATCTTACAATCATTAGAGACAGTAGTATGTAGCTACATTAGAGCTGACCCCCTGTTTAAAATAGACCATACCTGCTGTAGCATCATCAGGAAATGATAGGTAACATGGAGGTATTGTATGAAAGAATGTAATTCCTTTGTGAGTATGTGCTGAGCTGGGGGAAGTTACATACAACTGTCTCTTGTTAGCTCACTAATGATTGATAGATGACAATAAATTGATAGCTATTAGAATATATAGATATTATATACATTAAACAAAAATATAAATAAATTGATTAATCGTTAATCTAAATTTAAAGAAAAAAAAGAAGCTTTCAAAATAGAAAAAGAATATGGACAAAGTCTGAACAAACTTTAGAGTTGGGCTTGAAAAATTATAATTAAATAAATTTAATAAAATTGGTAACAAATTATAATAATACCATGTTTAAAACAAAATTGAAAGGCCACCAAAATAAGGTCACATCTACCTTTCGTACTGGTAGAAGAAGTTGATATTGATGGTGACGTTGTAGTAGCCAGAGTTGTTGATGGATCCGTTGACGTTGTAGTAGCCAGAGTTGTTGATGGATCCGTTGACGTTGTAGTAGCCAGAGTTGCTGATGGATCCGTTGACGTTGTAGTAGCCAGAGTTGTTGATGGATCCGTTGACGTTGTAGTAGCCAGAGTTGTTGATGGATCCGTTGACGTTGTAGTAGCCAGAGTTGTTGATGGATCCGTTGACGTTGTAGTAGCCAGACTTGTTGATGGATCCGTTGAGGTTGTAGTAACCAGAGTTGTTGATGTTTCTGTTATAGTATATAGAATGGTCGATGGTTCCTCTGTAGTAGCTAGAGTTGTTGATGATGATTGAAAAACAGTACAAACTTCATAAGATATGATTAGCACCAAGAATTATAATAGTCACATAGGCCGATTGACTTTTTGTTTGATACACGTGTCATGAAACCCGAGGAAAACACGACCATCGTTTTGGAAAATTGTGACATTAAACCACTAGCAGTCAGTGGCGTATCAAGACATTTCGGTGCCTGGGGACAACTATGATATTACACACCTCCCCTATCAAACTTTAACGTAACTGTATACAGTCCAACGAACCGGGAGGAATAAGAATACAGTTCCATTGAAGTAAAGATATTATACTCCATTGTCATCATCGAACTATAAATTAGATGAATTCTTCTTGTGTAGGTACTCGTTATACCATATACATTACTAGAATATCTGATGAATTTTCAACACAATTATTGTAATCTGTTTTCGTTCTTCTTTGCTTGTATTTCATGTATCGTCCCTATTTTCACGAAGTGACGGTAGTGAGGAAAATCGTAACTCAAAGTGAATGCAATTTTTTTCACTACCGTCACTTCGTGAAAACAGCGACGGTATATTGATCTTAATCCAAAGAGCGTATCCTAAATATCGATGAATTCATTTGATTTGAATATTTACCTTGACACGAAGGGAGCTGAAGCACCGGCGGAATAGAGTCGATACATTCGACTGTATCATTACCAATCAATGTATACCCCTCATCACATACAAACATACAAATGGTGCCGATGCTCAAAGAACTCTGAGGCAAGCATTCCACTGAGGGCGTTAGCAAGTTGGCAGGAAAACTCGGCACTGTGCAATCTGTATCAGAATAAAGAAAAAAGAACATAAAATATGTATATACGATTTAATAAATTAATATTAATCGAATTCAGGCGTAGGTGCACATTGACTAGTTAAAAAAAGCAAACTATAAAAATACTTTAAAAAAACCTTTTTAAAGGCCAAGTAAAACTTATTCTTTAAAAGTTTCTCGTGTGCAATAAGAAGTTGAGGTTCAATTATTTGATATTTTCCATTTCTTCCTGCTTAAAGTATCTCAGAAACATTTGTGAAGGTTGATACAAAATCTGCTGGATTTTGTTTGAAATGTTACTTATTATATTCCTTTTACTGTAATAACCCTCTAACATCCTGAACAAATTCTCAAACGACAAAGATAATTATTATTTTCTTTGAACGCATCACTGTGCGACACCCTCTAACAGTAAATTCTCCAAACCATTTTAGAATTTTCCCAATCGTTTGTCCATGAAAATAAGACATATGACATGCTTTTAAAAATCTATCAACACTCAAATTTCTGGAATGGTATGGAAAGCCAATTCATTGCTTTGTGACGATTTACAGTCATCTAAAAGCAATTAAATTGTAATAAAATATCGATCAAATCATTTTTTCCCCATTTTTATCGATAATAATGGTCTGTCTTCTCTCGAACATTCAGATTATCTTTAATTGTACATCTAGCATTAAAGTCACTACCTTAGCACCATTTCCTCTATTAAAGATCTGAACAACGTTATCAAGTCCCTTCAACACAGGTCATTATGTGCCAGTCGTGGATTTTATCGAAGATGATGCCCAGTCAGTTTTTGTGCGCTTATGACACTGGTTCAAACAACCAATCTACTGCAGGATAAACAATCCGGAATCGATCATAGCAATTTTCTCTCTAAATACATTTCCTATACCAGAGTTCAAGATTGGCTTTTAATACTGACCTTGTCCGCTAACGCTGTACATTGTGGCAGCGACAAGAAATAATGTCGGAAGAAACATCTTCCCTCCACACAGTCCCGACATGATGTATGCAATTGTCAAAACTATAGAGTCAGATGACCGGCTTCGTTAGATCAACGGTGTGATATATCCTGCAAAAAGCCAAAAAGAAAATATACATGCTTTACAGAAAATATGTATAAAAATGCATACAGACATGTAAAATAAAATGATGTCTACTGTAGGTCCTAGCGTATATCATATATCACTGTTTTGTTGAAAGTGGGTTTTATACACCAAACGAATTTTTTTAGCCAAAATGTGTGTTCCGGAAATGCATGAAAACACTGGTGGGCCCCTAAAACATACGTTTTAGGCACTTTTCGGCACCGATTTTCAAAATTCAGTCCGTGGCTAAGTTTTAAATTTAAGTTTGACCTTGGAATCTACATTTCCTTTTTGGCCTGTGTACCTAACTATTTCTAAGCCGTTCAAACTGCAAACAGACAACATGACACCATTGTGAATCAAGAGCGGTTATGACAGTTCATTGAAAGAAAAACAGACAATTTGCAACTGGTACTTTATGACACGCAGTGGTGGTTTTTCCCTCGGTGCACAGTGCTTGGACACACAATAGGAGGAATATTATTGTATAAATATCAAACGGTTTCACATCCGTGTATTCACACGCCTTCCAAAGAGAGGACAAACCTATTTATATGATGCAAATATTAAATGTTGGGGCGTAGGTATTACACGGGAAAATTAATATTGACAGTGATTCATTATTTCATTTACCTATACCATATATATTGAGTGTTCATAGCTTGTGCATAATAGCATAGTAAGAAATGAACATAAATGAAAAGAGAGACATGATTTTGGTCTCGAATATGAAATTATGAGAAGTGTATCGCTCTTTTAATAGAGTACTATGAATTTCTAATATAGACCTGTATAACACTATTAATATGCCTGACAAAGAAAGCGGACAAAATATACAATTCCTCAGGTAGACAAAGGAACATCCCTTCACTGCTATTATGTAAAAATTTGTAGAACAGGTGTCACATGCATATTCACCTTTTTACATAATAGCAGTGAAGGGATGTTCCCTGGTCTACCTGAGGAACTGTATATTTTGTCCGCTTTCTTTGTCAGTCATGTTCATAGTGTAGACGACTCTCAAACGAAATCTAAATTTAACCGCAATATGCTTTCTTAAGAAGCTTATCTAAAAAAAAGTTACGCTCACAACTCAATCGGTTCTCATATTTTGCTGTGTCTGTTAATCGTATAGGTTTGCTGAGCCCGCTAGTCTTTGAAAAGAACGAGGAAAATTTAATTCCATATTTGCTTCTTATACAACTGGAGTTTGGGGAGAGATTCCGCGCTTCGGACTTTGTTATCATTGTTATGAAATGAAAGAAGCCTAATACCCAAGTCACAGTTATCGTTTATACATACAGAGTTGGCTCATGCAAGGGAAATAAAGTTTACACAATCATATATGTTAAATATAAGCTTGAGTTCTCGTAATGATAGCAAATAAAGTCTTGTTTGTTTTTCTTGTATTGGTTCAAACAATCAATCGTCTGCAAGATAAATAATTCAGGATGAATTATAGCCATGTTCTCTCAACATTCGATTCCCATACCAGAGCTCAAGATCAGCTTTAAAGGTCGACTGTATTTCTGAATTTTGAAACCATTAAAGTGATTGTTTTTGTTCGTTTGTTTGTATGTAGGTACAGTAGGTTTGTCTTTTTTGTTTCAGTTTGTTTGCTATAGGGTTGACAGGTGTGAATAATGATTATGTGGACCTCGAATATCTCAATACTGATGACATGAGGAAGTAGAGAAGAAAAGAAAAGATAGCAAAATGCAATTTAGCATTCCGTTTTCAGTTTTGAAAGTATTGTTTGAAAGCCGATTGTATATCATTCTTCTGCCGCCACAAAAAAAGCAATATACACTAACATGTTTGGAGCACACTTCCTTGTATGATTCTTTAAAGCCCATCTGTACTAGTTTGGCCAGGGGGATTAGACATCCATGCATGGCTACTGACAGGTGGTTATCTCATCAAATCAGCTCTCAATTAACATAAGAAAAAGGGGACAATGGGGGACCAATGGTCACCGATTAGGCATTGTTTTCTATATAGAGGGCGCAAGTATATAAGTAGAGTAGTGGGGCTTTAAGACTCAAATAGAAGTTGATGGCTTCGGATTTTTCTTGTGTTCCCCTGTTTACTGTAAACAATACGGTCCTTCATGACAGTCCTTCTTCCGCAAATAACTGTGTAATGTTTGATGAAATTTAGTATTTATTACAGTTTATCATTTCGTTTTTGAAAGTAACAGTTGTTATATATATTTACTTATTCATGATTCACTGTCAGGAAAATGCTTATTGTATTTTATATTACTATTGTTATCGAAAAACTGTGTATTTTTATGAATGCAGAAGAAAATTAATTCCCATCAAAAATCAAAAATCAAATCAAATACCAGTTTCATCTGTATTTCGCAATCAGTATCCTGTTTCATGAAATTTTTCATCAATTACAAGTTATAAGCTACTGTTATTGTTGCATTTGATTGGTTTATGGCTGTTGATATTGATGACACGTCTCATTAAACAGTGTCCGTGTTTGCTCACTGTGATAATAAAAGTAAAAATAGATACAAAATTATGTAGGCCGTCAAAAAGATTAACGTTAACGTTAACGTAAGCGGACACTTTTTTTTTTTGGGGGGGGGGGAGTCCAAAAAAAAACGCAACGACTCAGCCAGCCAAAAAGTAGCTCATTGGGGGGGGGGGGGGGGGGGGAAGCGGAAACTTTTTTTTTTTTTTTTTGGTCCCAAAAAAATAGGCAACGACTCAGCCAGCTCAAAAGTAGCTCAGTGGGGGGGGGGGGGGGGGGGGGGGGGGAAGCGGAAACTTTTTTTTTTTTTTTTTGGTCCCAAAAAAAATCGCAACGACTCAACCGACCGCTGAATAAGCGGGGGGGGGGGGGGGGTGGTAAGAGGACACTTTTTTTTTTTTGGTCTCGAAAATTTGAAAATTTGACATTTTGCTTCGTTGGGGGGGGGGGGGGTAAGGTCACCTTTCTTAGGTCAGCCATGGGGGTAATTTTTTTGTTGTTTTTTTGTTTAAATAATTAAAAAAAAAAAAAAAAATCAAAAGGGGGGGGGGGGGTTTTAGGTTCTTTTTAAGGGGGTTTACACACATAAAAATACCAAAGGAGGGGGTTTAATCCCCCAAACACCCCCTGCGTACGAGCCTGAGTGTACTGCATGGAATAATACAATCATTGGGCACACTTTATTCACGACGAAAAACATCCTAATATCCCGCAATTTTAGGAGCGGTTCTAAATATTTGTGTCCATTCAACCATGGACCTACTACCCTATCAAACATTTTGAATAGGTAGGTCCTATAAAACAGACGCCTTTGCTTAGTACTGTGACACTCGTAGCCGGATCAGTTCACATTTTGCGATTATTGTTTAAGTATTTTGTTCAACCACAAATATTAGATATGCTGATGACACTGTTTTATTTTCCGAATCAAAGAAAGATTTCCAGAGAATCCTGAATGTAGTTGTAAAAGAAAGTGAGAGAATGGGACTAGAGAACAACTATACCAAGCCAAAGTGCCTTTTGGTCTCCAAGAAGAGCAGTCCAAAATGTAACTTGAAACTGAAAGAACAGATTATTAAACAAGTCTCCTCATTCAACTACCTCGGCACCATGATCACCGAGGATGCCAAATGTGAGACAGAAATCAAGAGAAGGATAGCTCTCGCTAAATCTGCATTTTCAATGTTAGGCAAAATTCTGACAAATCGAACAATGAGTATGAGGACCAGAATAGGGGTATTGAGTTGTTACATCTACCCAGTACTTATGTATTGCAGTGAAACATGGACTTTAGCCTCTGATACTAAAAAGCGTTTGGAAAGTTGCGAAATGTGGTTTTTAACAAGAATGATGAAAATCCCCTGGACTGACAAAGTTAGTAATGAGGAAGTTCTAACACGAGCTGGAGTGCAAAGGAAAATGATACGTGAGATGTTGATTAGGCAGTTGAAGTTCATGGGTCACATTACACGTAAAGAAGGCCTAGAAAATCTTGCTTTGACAGGGAAAATTGTAGGAAGAAGGAGGATACTTGGATGGACAGTCTGCAGAAATTGTTGGAAGAGAGAGGAGTGAAAGAACTGGGAGTGGTACTAATACAGAAGGCTAGGAGCCGAGGATTGTGGAACAGCATGATCGCCAAAGTCAAACGATATGGCACTTAGAGAGAGAGAGATCTTGTTTTTCTTAGACGAGCTCAAAATGCCTTCATAAACCATTTAGAAAACTTCCAACAATCCCAGCTGCTGACTCATTCGTCTACTACTACCACTAGTGAAAATAATAATGATAATGATAATGATAAATATACACGTCACTAACATCATCATCATCATCATCATCATCATAATAATAATAATAATTACATTTATATGGCGCTTTATACAGGCGTTTATAAGCACGCAGGTGGTACGGCTAACTATATAATTATTCATCTTCATCATCATCATCATCATCATCATCATCAACAACAACAACACCATCATCATCATCAACACCATCATCATCATGAATTCAACTCTACTACAAAACAGTTCTGGTATGTTAGGGTATAAATGTCTTAAAGAGCCTTTTTTTTTAGCTTACCCTGTGTAGCCTCTAAAGATATTGAATCCTCTCCCGAAGCTTCGGGTCTGCTAAAGGCTTCAATTCGACGGATCGGAGAAATCAAATGACGATCACTTCACTCAAAGTCTAAAGACTGTTAGTACGGGACGCATGACCTTATAACAAGAAAATTCCATCACCTAGTTTTCTTGTCTTTTTTTCCAAATTAATAATAACGAAGTTTCTCGAAATCCTATACGCGCAAGTGGGCTATTTCATACTTCACGTGTGATGTATATCCTGAAAATTCTATTTCTGTTCGTACGCTCTGATGTCATATACATAAATATGACTACACCCTTTCGTGCAACGTGATCTATTCACCGTCCCACAATTCATCTCTACGCTCTAATGGTTTCAGGACTATACAGTGCGTCCCAGAAAAAACGAAACCGAGAAGTATCGATGTTTTATCATAACTTAATCACAACCATAATTAATGAATGATACATATTTGGATATTTGATAATATACCAGAACAATTTTGATGTAGAGGTTAGTTCATGATGAGTTGAGTTGAGTTGAGTTTATTGGTTTCACATCTCACCTGCAGATATAATACAGATAACAAAATATACATAAAAGATATATTGTTTCATAATTAAAAAAAAATGATTATAGTAATTGACAAGGTAATCAGACTACAAAGTTACATGTCATCACATTTGTTTGACAACTAATATCATTTAAAGGAAACCCAGACAAAAGTATGAACTGTGAAATGTGCAGGAACCTATAGAAAGCAGAGCTTGTAAAGAATAGGTTCCTGGGAGACTCGAAAAAATAACAGGGACAGAAAATGTTTACTGTAGAGAGAAGTACACAATTAAAATTAAGTCAGTAGTAATTTGACAAATAATTGTTTGCGAGTTCAATAAAATACAATACAGAAAAAAGGGGGAAAAGAAATACACTAAAACGAAGAGGAGTAACGAGCCAATAAATAGCAGAGTATGCACCTAATTCCACCAAATGTTTGCACCACCTGAACGTTTACAAAAACCGAACACTAGAAGTCATGAATTATTCATTCCTTTCATGCTAAAATGATGATGATGATATATGGTGGTCCTACACTCAAACCGGCAATCCTTGATCAGGTACACTAAGAATTTTTTTTCCCTTCTCTCTTCCATCCTTCCTTTAATTCTTTTTTCTTTACTTCTTTCTTTCCCGCTCTCTCTCACTCTATTAATGTCCCGTTCCCCTCTCTCTTTCTCTCTCTCTCTCTCTCTCTCTCTACCCCTCTCCTCTCCTCTCCTCTCTCCCTCCCCCTCTCTATCCCTCAGTTTCTCTGTCTCCTTTGTCATTCTTTTAAACTCACTGCATGAATTTTAGGTGAACACAAATATCACATATAAATTAAAATCCCACGCAAAAGTAACATTTCTTTACATAAGTTATTGTTTTGTTGTTAGTTTTACTGTCCTCGTTTCCACGGCGTTCACTCACAAAATGTGTTAGAAAAAAAACCTTTAGAATTCCTACTGATAACACGAAACCATGTCAGAAAGCAATCAATCATCTGTTTTCGAACCCCCCTTAACAATAGCCTGTCTTACATTTGTATCAACTGTATCCACGCTTGACAAAATAAAAACAACAAGAATATATGCTTCACATAAAAGCCAATCCATATTTTGCGTGTAACTTCAGATTTGACACATTGGGTTTCTCACAAAAACCCGATTAAAGTGGTCAATATTGTAAATAGATGTGCAATAAAATTGGTTAATTTCACGGATTTGCTACAAAGTAGGCGATCAAATGCTCACTTTATATTTTAAATTTTAAATTGATTTGTTAAAAGCTATACTCTATTCTTTCTCTGATTATTGCCAAAAAAAAAACACGGGACAAAATAACAAACTTTGTCCTTACTTCAAAGTTAGTGACGTTTCAAATACTATAAAGGCCTATTTCCCTTACGTTTTGTGAACAATAATATTGTATTTCAATGAAAAAAATGTTTTACTTTCGTTCATTTAATTAATTCTTGATATCAACTGTGTAAACATGTAGAAGATATGCGGATACTCACTATATTATTTGATTATGCCCCTTTGCAACGCAGCGCCCCCTTCCCGCCAGCGCTCTCTCTCTCTCTCTCTCTCTCTCTCCCTCTCTCCTTATTGAATACATCACTATCTCCCCATCCACATCCCCGTTCTCTTCCAATAATATTCCTTCCCCATTATTAGTATATATGCCTACCCTCCATCCAAATTCTGTTCTTTCCTCTTTATTTTCTGCTCCTAATATACCAACGTAATTTGTCGCCCGGGTGTAGGGAGTACACCCCGTCATGATAATAGACAATGACACACGCATGTCATTCTATTGATATTTTATAGTTATCTGTGTTAACCGGTTGACTATTGAATTGTCTTTTCCCCCATAGACGTAATATAATGAGTACCCGGTTAGAGTACACTGTAAAAAAGAATTTGTTCATTGGTAATTTTTACGTATTTTTTCCATGTAGAATTTACTTGAAAACATTAGTTTTGCCACTTACGCACTAAATTTAAGTCTTGCTAACTCAAACTTTCAATTTAGTAGAACATACGTGGAATATTTAAGTAAAATCAAATACATAAGAACTTTAAGTAATTTCAGCTTGTATTAATTTAGTAATTTTAACTCAAAATCAGAAATTATACGTATTACTCAAACAATTTATGTTGATTATTCTTATCTTTTTAAAGTAAGGACCGATGCAGTGCGTAATAGAAATATTTACATAATTTATGAATATTCATTAAGACTAAATTAAACTCTTTTTTAAATAAAACAATTTTTTTTGGTAGTTGAATGAAATTTAAGGACTTTAAAACATTTACTAATTCATTTAACATGGCTAAGTAAAGACAAGACAATTTTTAATTGTTACCCAGTTCAAAACAAATAAAAACTTGATATTTCAGGAAATTGTCAACCAATTTTCCTTTTAAGATGCTACGATCAAGTATATATAAAATTTGGAGCCTTTCAATATGTGTCGAATTGAAGCGTATGTAATAGTTTGTGATGGTGGTAGATATATATACGGTTAAATCTTAAATAGAAGTAGTGTTAGTGATTAGTGGATGTTACTTGTTAGATTAGATGGGTACCAAATCGTGCAATATGTAATCCTATCATAGCTTTTTTTTTAATTATCTAAAATGATTACAATACTTAAATTATTTACGTTAATGTAACTCGATTTAACTGAGTATAAATTTATTCAGCAAAATAAGTAAATTCTACTTAAGATGCCGTAGGTAATATTTACTTAATAAAAATAAGGCAATTCTTTTCCTCAATTTTATTGAGTTATTTCGACTATTATTTTTTTACAGTGTAGGCAATGGGTTAAAGCTCAATCACTACATAATTGGCGCTGGAAGGTTATGACATAAAATGATGTAACATACATGGATATTTTATAGATTTATGTCATGCGGTAATATAATAAGATAGGAATGATGCAAATGCGAGTTTTAGCTGGAAACTATTAAAATCAGGGGACTCGATGCTTCTTCAAGGCGTTGAGGGAGGGGCAAACGCAATAAGCAAGGTAAAGCTTATAAGAGGTTTTAAAAAAGTGCGTATTTTTTGGCGGAAGGCAACTGCCCCTTGAGCCCCCTCCATCGAATACTTTGGATAAAACATGATCCGATATAAATATTTATGTACTGTATGTTCTCAATCTGTTGAAGATGTTGATTTGTAGCTTTGAATGTGCATGGATTTCTTTCCTGCCGCCAAAAATCAACGCAAAAGGCCGATTACCTATTAAAACGAAATGAAGTGTTGAAAATCTAAATATGATACTTGTAATCGTTCTTTAGTTAAATAGTAAAAATGCTTCGTTTAATTCGTAAACAAATCTAAATGGGTTAATTCATGAGTATGCAAAATTCATGAATTGATTCACTTTCCACAAAAATAGAAGTACCCAAATGTACATATGAATAAAAGGTATACAGGTATAATTCACTTGTGACTATCTTGTTTCTCTTGGTGACTGTTTAATGTGTAAATACAAAATAACGGTCATACAAACTTTAAGCCTCAATATATAAATAATTAAACGGAGTGAGCTACACAAAAACTTCGGAGCATTTCTAGGCATGGCAGCTTCAGGATTTAGTTTTTTTTTCATAAGGGGGGAAATATCTCAAAACTGATTTCTCTCTGATTTGTTTTTCTTGCCGTAGAGATGACGAACCCTATGCCTGATATCAAAACATCCATGAATCCACATAATGTAGAAGACGAAGACTAGAAGGGCTTGTCACCCTGTTCCGTTCTTAATTACATGATAGCGATGCTATAATATTAACATTCTTAGGTATTTTAAAGCAGTTTAAAGAATTAATCGTGGCAGGTACTCATACTGCAATTAAATAATAAGAAAGGAAAAAAAACGAAAAATAAACAAGAAAACTACTACGTGTGATGACGCACTTAGGCAGCGACTTTAAACTCGATATTTTTTTTTCAGATTAAGTCAATGAATGTCTTTTTACAAACAATCTCTATTTTTGAGTAGAGGCGGGTCGGTGCTACACATACGACTGAGATGGCGGTCTTCACTCAGGTCCCAAAGGAACTATTTAGCTGACTGTTTTAATAACGTCAATCGTTTAGTTTTGGAATTCTTCGACATTAGATAGCTTGTTGTACAGATGGCACTGAAATAAAAAATATATATACTACTACTATTTGCAAAGCCATTCAGTTAAATCGTTTGTATTGATGTTATTGTCGGAATTTTGTGGTGGATATATTGTTATTTCAACTGTTCAATTGTTGTTGTGTGTCATTTGAGTCGTTATCGGGATGATGTCAATCAAATGGCGCATTCTGAAAGCATAACATAATTGTATTTATATTTGTTTTTAAACATTGACAAAACAATGCAGAAGGCATGAAACGACTTCCACCAAACTTAATCTCGCAGTGTTACGCCCTCTACAGTGTCATCAAAATGTACTTTTTTTGCATTTTCACATCCACCTACCCTTACGCACACACATCTATTAACACGACGAACACCCTATCCTGCCCACACACTCAAT